GAATACTCGACAGAATTACCAGTAAGGTTGTTTCAGTTTTTCATCTTATCTCTTGAACCTGAAGGGGAATGAAGAATGAAAAGATTAGGAAGGGGTCGGGAGTATGAGAAGAAAAGGCTGAAGTCATACTTCGCTGCTGAGAGAAAAAATTGAGACTCCGAGGGATTCGTTAGGAAATTTCTGTAAATTCTCTGCACAACCACAAAGTACTTAGAAAAAAAAAAATGCTGAAATTCCGAAGGGCCAAATACCGGAATCTCAGCATTTTTTTCTGAGCATGATTTTTACAAATTTGCCATGAAATCACAAAGTGTTAGGAAGGAAAATTCTGTGAATGGTGAATTTACGGCTTTATGGTGAATTTGTACGAGGGAAGTAAGATTTTCTAGCTTGAAAATCTTACTTCCTTCGTATAAATTCACCATGAAGCTGCAGAGTGCCGAGAAAAATTACTGCTGAAGATTCCACGGGATTTTTATGTAAATTCATCACGAATTCACAAAGTGGTGAGGGAAAATACTGGTACTCCGACAATCTTACGGGGAAATTTTAACTCCTTCTTATGAACTTGATATGCTTAGAAAAAATCTGAGGCTTCGTGGGACTTTGCTGGAAAATTTTACCTCCTTTACCAAAATTGATCTGCGAAATGCGCATGCTGGATGCAGTGAAGTTTTTTACAGTTTAACTTCTCGGCACTGCCTTTAAGTTTGTCACTGTGATTTTTGAAATGTTTTTTCAGTTCTCCCATAAATTCTCACCATCTTCCTTTTGTTATGTTGTGTGTTTGTTCGGGATGAAACGTCGTTTTTGTCATTCTTAAATCGTAAATCCCTCGTTAACTTTTGAGCACTGTGTGACGCATTCTATTCCCTATTGTTTTTTTTTTTTTTTTTGAATTTCATTGCCCAATTTGCATTTTTCTGCACACTATATTTATACGAAAAGGTTCAAAATTTTTGTGTTTTCATCAATGCCTATGATATTGCGTTGTTTTTGCCACAAGTTTTTGCCTTCCCCACAAATTCTTGCGCAAAATTTGTGTAAATACAGGTGATTTTTTGGTGCGAAAAAAAACTTTTTTGGCCTCTAGAGAATTGTCTGGTGCGAAACAGTGTGAAAATTGGACTAAGAGATTTATTTCAAATTTTGAAAAATTCTGTTTATTCCCCATCGTCAACCTGTTTCCAAGCAATCTTCAAAAGGGGGAGCCATCGACAGTCCTGCCAGCGGATGGTTGCTGTTAACATTTCATACCACTCGGGCTTTTTCTGTAAGCCTGTCACAGAGAGTGAATGTCGAGGAGATCTTGGCTTATTATATTTTGCGCAGCGATTTTGTTTGGATAAAGCTTAGAGATTAATTAAACTGGTTTAATTAGTTTGAAGCATTTTAATTAGAAAAAAAAAATGCCCGAAATGGGAAAGAATTTGCAACTGAACTGAAACAGTTTTGGAATTTGAATTATTTCGAGACTATTGCAGATGACGCGCAACCAAACGCAACAATGGAGACTCGGGTTGCTGGCCAGGGACAACCGAAAAAAGTTGGCCGATGGTCGCTGGCCCAGTTGCGCCAAACTGATGGTATGTTTTCGAGTTCCAACTTATGAAGCTGTTCCTAGTTTGATGTGGCCATCTCACGAAGGATACTTTCAAGGAGGCATTTAGTTTGACATTAC